ATGTTATAGTTGCGCGGAGAACTATTTGTCATCGAAATGGAGCAGTTGGACCAGAAATAGTGTAGTATTTTAGGAGACTAAAAAGAATTTTCGTGTTCGTTCTTTATAAAAGCACTGATTTATTGATTGGGTCTGGTGGATTGCGAATTTCATTAATCAACGTCGCTAAAATCACAGAAATTCGAGTTTTAGCTCTACTTTCACCCATTAACCTACTTCTCTTTCTCTCCCTCTCTGGATAAGCACTTCGCGGTGAATATCAGCAACTCGAACCTGCTTAACCGTTTAAGGATCGATTTTTTTTTTTAATTCTGAAGGAAAATTCCCAATTATTTTGTTATTAATTAAACAATGCAATATGCTTCACGATAAACCTTAGAAAATTTCCGAAGAAATTTTAATACTCAGGAAAACAATGATTACACAGATAATTGAAAATTCGATTCAACTATAAGGCATAAAAATAATAAAGTCTGGCTTCATCACTAAAGAGCAAACATTAAGAAATAAGGCAGTAATTAAAGAAATTCAATTAAAATTGATTGAAAACTTCAAATTACTTCAATTCAACGAAATTTATTATAAAACATAAAAGATCATTTCTTCTTTCCAACAACTGTTCCCAAAAACACTAAAAATCCCATCTATGTATGTAACTATTCATTTTTTCTACTTTTTTCCAAGTAATGTCTTTACTAAACTAAAGACAGTTCTTCACTGTTAAGTTCGAAGCCAGAACAAATACTTTTCAAAATATGCCACATAACAGCGATAATAAATCTTCAATTTGTCGAAATTTAACAGTTTAAAGAATCTTCTAGAAACTTTAGAGTCAAAATATTATTAAAAAATTTTGCTTCGTTTGCTTCGAAGCACTGAACGAAAGGTAGAGCTTTCGTTGACCGCGCACGAAACGCAGACAGCCGGTCGAATTGATCGCGGCTGTGGTCGTCGTGGGTTCTATTTACAGGAGCGCACCGATCACAATGCCTGTCCAGGATTCGACGTGGCTACGACGCGAAATTCCCTGTTGCCGAGGCAAGGATCGAAGCCGTATTACTCCGAGGCATGTCTTCGAGAGGCGGGTTAGGTAGCCGTATACTGGGCTCTTTTAATCGTGGCTGATCGCGTGAGGTCAAGTCCCCAGGATTATCTTGTTTCGCCTCAACATCTTTCGAGTTAATTTCATTAATTGAACGACGGCAGAAAATGTTTAAAAACATTAAACTTACGCGACACACGACGTCGACCTTATAAATAGTATCTTGTGTTTACACTGATCACACAAACTTATATCTGGTTAATACCAATCCGGTCTGTTGAAATAAATTATGAATAATATTGGATACGAATGACAAAGTTAACAATCCTTGATCTAACTCTTTATGTTATTGTACAATAACCTATATTATATATTGTTCACGAAGTTTCAAGCCTGATTTTATTATATGTACCCTATATATAAATACACTTGTAAGATTGTTATTAAGTGTAAAAAATAGCATCTGATTTTACTAGAAAATTTCAGATTACAAATCATATCACTTGGTTGGACAAACACCTTCTTTTATATTAAAACTTCTTTAATATATAATGTGTATTTATAAAAACTGTTTGCAAACCAATAATCCTGGTTCCATTTAAAAATGAAGGCAATTCTCATTAAATAGTTTCATAAGAATATAATGATTGCGAACTAAAACGAACCTATCCAACAATCTTTAATATCATAAAACGACGGAAAATCGGTAAGACATCAGTATCGTTTATTGCAACTTATTGAACGATAATGTATGTTTATTAACAAGGTTAATGGAATCGGTGAGATAAAGAGGCAGAAATTAGAATCTCGTTTCTTAGAAGATCTGAATGGGGTCAGTGACCATTGAAAATGCAACGAACGATTAGCTTGAATTTGGAACGTATCGCCGACCCATAGAATTTCTGGAATCGATCGGATCCATTACCGTTGAATGGTCCGCAAACGAAAGGATTTCCGAGGAGAGCCGAAAATCGATAGACCTACTCCCCGTTGCGGTACTTAAAGTGTTTCCTTAAAGTATTCTTCATAGTTGCTTCGGAGCTCAATGACAATGGTCGTATCGTGCGTTATCGGCGATCCATGCTACCTGGTATTGCTCCCGAAAAGGTAAATGCAGTAGAGTGGATTTTTTTTCAAAGACTGTGATATTTGATTTCAATTGCACTACTGAAACTTCGAGAAAATTTTCTTCTGAAGAAGCACTTGACGAAGTTTGCATTAAAACGAAGAATGAAGACTTCAACTTAGTAACTTTCTTTTATGAATCTCTTTTACGTATTCAGTGGATTCTTGTGAATTATAAACTACAATAGATGCACGCAGGGAATCTTTAAAAAGTACAAAGAATGTAGAAACGACGTGAGTAATTGATGTTCAATCGAGAAAATAAATTACGACACTTTTTACATATCATTATATTTTCTAGAATATACTCTTCGAAGAAAATGAACGAGGATTGAAAAATGCTTCCTACAAGACAAATAGCGTCTCGTCCTAACATAGACAAGAACCACGAAGAACGTACTAATTCAAAAGTAAAACCAGATGCTTGATATTCTAACGAGGATACCGATATTTCCCGGGGGATCAACAAACGCCAGGACTATCTATTATTCATCGCCGGGAACCGTCCGTAGAGATAATAAATGTCCTTATCTCCGTGCGGAATGCTCGAATAACAAAGCTCGTGGAGGAAAATCCCGAGACAAGGATCCGATCTCGGTATCGATCCTTTGATATTACGGAATATCGGTTGACCGGCGAATGAGGGAAGCAGCGGCCCGAGGAATCGGTTGTTACAGTAGCTTTCGCGTGGAGTGTTTCTAGAAATGACGGCGGCGAGCCACGCCGGTCCTCTCCGTTTCGTTCCGCGCCGCACCGGTGGAAAAGCTCTCGCGGATTTGGCAACACTGTGACGCGCTGGGCGTCTCGCTAACACTCGACGGCGCGAAGGATGAGGGGGCCTCACGACGACCGACCGACCGACCGACCGAGCGAAAAACCCCTCGATGTTCCGTACGCGAAGGTGGAGGGCGGGTACCAGTGACCAACGGGTAGGGGAAGGCAG